GACTTATTTTTAATGACCAAAATGACATAGTCATTTGAAAGTCATTTGAAGGTCATTTCAAAATAGTCAAATGACCTAGTCATTTGCCATCACTGCTGAAAAATAATTTATGACTCCTGTACTGCGTGATTCTACCTGATCAGAAATATTTATTTACCTGTATAAATTATTTTTGTTTTTTTAATCATCATTTTAAATTTAATCTTTTGTTTTCTTGAACTTAAAACCTTAATTTTTTTCACTGTAATATTTTATTCATTTAACCTATTGTAAAAATGGATGAGGTTTGTAAAATTGTATCATCAAAAAAGAAAATGATAAAATCAAAATTCATGGATATTTAATGATAAAGGAATGAAACTGTAAAAATATTTTTACTTGTATTGTGAAAAATGAAAATCAGAAGGTTGTAAAGGCTGTACAATAATAAACTTATATAATAACTTGCACTATCTTCAAAATTGTATTAATCATAACCATAGATCTCAAACAAGTAATGCTAAAGTCACGAAAATTACTGCTCAAATAAAATGTTAAGCCTTTGAAACAAGAGATAAACCTGCAAAAATAATTTGAGATAATATTATTAGTATACCAGAGGAAATTTATCCTTATATTCCTTTAGTTAAGACTCTTTGTAGAATAATTAACTGTGTTAGAAGATTGAAAATGCCATTATAACTACAAAATATTTCTGAAGTTAACATACCAGAATCACTTTGTCTTACTTTGAATGGTAATTTTTTCTTAGTTAAAGATCATATGATTGGTCAAGAACAAATCTTTATATTTACTACAAGTGAAAATATCAGACACTTATCTAGTGCATTATTTTGGATAATGGATGATACATTTAAAACTGTTCCTACAATCTTTCATCAAATGTATACAATTTATACACCTGTTAGTATTAAAGACAATTCTAGAATTCTTCCACTAGTGTACGTGCTAATGACTCATAAATCTGAGGAGCAATATAAGTGGGTATTTGAGAACTTAATTGAGTTTGCTGAAGAAAATAATGTTCAATTAAAACCATCAAGTATTATTACTGATTTTGAATTAGCAGCAATTAATATGTTATGTTGTAAGTTCCCTGATGCTAATAATAAGGGTTGTTTTTTCCATCTTAGTCAAAATGGATGACGGCAAATACAAAATTGTGGACTAGCCGTTCGATATGAAAATAATGAGCATTTTAGCATTATGTTATGCCATTTATTTGCATTAGCCTTTTTACCTTCACATGAGATCCCCACAGCATTTGATATTTTAAAACAAGAAATGCCTTCAGAAGCAAATGTTCTGATGCAATAGTTTGAAGACGATTATGTTTATAGAAGGATTCGACGAGAAAAGCAAAATGGTCAATGGTCATGTAGTTCATTTCGCACCCCTTTTTCTACTACAATTATGGTCAGTGTATGATTTTATTGAATTTGGAGTTCTGAGAACTCAAAATATTGTTAAGGCTTGGCACTGTCGTTGGGAAACTCTGGTTAGTGGATCCTATGTAGGACTTTTCACTATTATTAATGAGATACAAAGAGAATAACAGCAGGTTGAACTTCAAATTGAATGTATTCTCCGTGGAGAACAACGAAAAAAAGCAGAAAAGAAGTTTTGATTGAAAGAGAAAGTAGGATTATGTCAATTATTAATAACTGAAGTGACCGTTCATTGATGGAATTTCTTCGCGGGATTGCCCATAACCTTTCTATATTGGTGTTAATTTTATATGGTTATATGTGAATGGTATAAATAAAAATGTTTTAGCTAAAATTTTTTAATAAAAATAATAAAACTATTGACAGAATTTATAACTTGTTTATATTTATTATGGTAATAAGAACATAATTTATTATTAATTTACATCCTCTACTCCGTAATACATAGTTATTATACTACAAAGTAAACTACCTATTTTAAATTTAAAATGAAAAGTACTAATGCTAATTAAATAACATAACAATGTATATTTCTGAGATCTTGAAACTTCAGGATTTTGAATCTTTCGGGATCATGTTCTTTCGGGATATAAGCTATTCGGGCTCTTGAACTTTCGGGATCTCTACTACTGGGATCATAAACTAATTAAGATATTAAACTTTCAGGATATCGATCAGTCAGGATTTCATTCTTGTCAGGTTTATGCATATTGAGATTATAGTCTGTCAGGATTCTAACTGTCGGGATTCTGGGGGGATCCTTAAAATAGAGATGTCCGCTATGCTGGTCAGAATACCGCGATTCTTTTCGGTGGAATATCACAGAACCAGCAAGACATAAATAAGCGAAAAAAGCCAAATTGACATGCTTTCCGAAAAGTGGCTTATATAATAAGCAATTAATTAATTAAGAAGCGTGTTTGCCGTTGTTGACTATTACATTTATAAACTTTTATTTATATTTATTTCCGTTATGAAGAAATGGAATAATTATATTGGTTAACTCCTCTCTTATACAATTCCAAAATTATGCAAAGTTAAATATGCTTCTCCATTCATCGAATTTGTATCGAATTTGTATCAAGGACAATTGCAGAGGATAATGTTCTATGGTACAAGTTATTATTTCACACATGCAACTACAATTTTATGAAAATTTTTGTGATGAAGTAATAAAGAAATCATAAATGATTTTTTTCAACTTGTGCTATGTAATCACAAAGACGACGTATTACGATCCTTAAAATTTTTGTAGAAATACGTGAATAGCAAATGAAAGGGGTAATAAAATTTTTTGATGCTTAAAATGCGGAAATTATTTTATAAGAATTTAATTAATCTATATTTTTTCGTAAAAAAAAAACACGAGGAACGATCATCTAGTTGTAATAATATTATGTAAAAGGAAGCGAAGAATTTCAATCGCCCATTATAAATTACTCTTCTGATAAAGCACTTACCATATTCATAAAACAATACTGTCAAGATAATCGAATCGAGAATGTATAACTTTTCGGTATGACAATGAACCCGCTTATTCCTATAGAAATTCCGATGTACTCGTTGAAATATGTAAATTGCTTTTTAAAGGTGTTACAAATAATTACGTTTAAAGTTTATTTTTTGTTAATATTGTCCGTTTTAGAAAGAATTCAACCGTACTTCCAATTAATACTAAAAATAATCAGAAAGTTAAAAGATTCAGTTTATCGAATTTATAATTAAGGGAGCTTCAATGTGGTGAAACGATTAACAAAAAAAAAATAAAAAATAAAATCAAATAAAAAATCGAAATATTTATTCACAGGTTTTTTTATTTATTATTATTATTTTTTTTTTTCTTTTTTAAAAAAGAATAAACAAAATGAAAAGATATATGTTTATTATTTTACTTTTCAGTTTATTTCTTTTAAATGATTTGTTAAATGGGTTACCAATTTTACCAAATGAACATTTAAGATTACGACAAGACTTTATGAAACACCATGAAAAGTAAGTCCATAATGTGAAGCTTTTGATCCTTGTAGACCTCTTATTAATGAATTTTAAACATTTTTTTTTTTTAGATTTAACAAACGTCGGTTTGGAGAAAATCATCCACCATCGACTGGAACTACTGAGAGCGACGATACATTTGTCCCCAGTGCCCCAGAATGATCTTTAAGCTGTTACAGAAGGAAAAACATTTGAACCTTTAACTTGATTAAATATAGTAAAACAGCAAATTCATGTGATTTCTGTTTTAAATCATTTATTTCGTGCTATGACACATAAAAAAAAACAAGGATCGAAAGGACTTTTATTTTAATATAATTGTTTTTTACATTTTATGATTTACTTATTTATAGCGTAAGCAGTAATTTTAATAAAACTTAATATTGATTGAAAGGGATGATTTACTAAATAAAATCAGTTTGTCATTGCATTCCACGTGACATACGAAATAGCACATTCGTTGACTATTATAAAACCTCTGGCGCAGATTTGATACTCGGGCACAAAGAATGATTTATAGATATTGAACAATAGATATTAATAAGGTTATAGAATTCAATTAGTCCATCACGATAAACTAATATGCAATATGGTTGTGCAACAAATACGGTTTTAATGTTTAAATTAGGAATCTTTTTAACCAACTTTATTATTATTTTTTTTTTTTCTTCCTTTGTGAATTTCTCGTCGTCGTTTTAAACCTAGAATTTTTAAATCTTCACTCTCTCACACTTTAATCAAAAACAATGTACGAAAGATTCTTAAAACCATTAATTAAACAGATTAGAAAATCGAAATCGTTCAAAACGTCATCTCTCGAAACCATCAACGTCCCTCTAACTCCTGAAATCGCACTTTCATTTCATAATGACACCCAGCCTAATTTATCACCGATCCAATTGATGCCAGTTGAAATCTTGGTTATGATTTGTTATTATTCAACACCACAAGATTTATATTCCCTTTGTTCAGTATGTAAATATTTTAGGACGATATTATGGTCGAAATCACCAAAGACACAAGTCATCTGGGAACGGATTAGGATCTTGAATCAAAGGGATTGTCATCATTATTTATCCCCACCAAAGAACATGACAGAGCAAGAATATATTTGGAGAACCACAATGGCAAATAAATACCATTGTCAATTTTGTCTTTTACCCATTAATATGATTTATTATGACCTTTATACTACAAATATAATTTGCTGTGAAGAATGTATTCATAGTCGGAAATATGGTATAATTAAACATAAATATGATAAATATAAAAGGTTACCAAAGAAATTTGAGGAATCTATCATACCGACGAGGCATTTTAACTTGAATCCAAATTATTATAAATTATATTGGTTAAAAGATATCGAAAATTTTAAGGCAAAGTATTACTCTTTAAAGAAGAAGGAGAGAAAGGGATGGTTACAAGAGAGGAGAAGGGAGGTCAAATTGTATTTAAAAAACATTGACAAGTACATTAAACAGGATGAGTTACGTTTAAGAAGTTCTCATTGTCATTGAGTTCGAAAACATCCCTTAAAATGATCATAACAATGATAAACATAAACGAAATGATCATATTAGGAAATACTGACTTATAAATGGATGCCCCATTTTCTTCATCCTCCACGGAACTTCTAATCCAATCAATATCATGGGTGGGAAATGTGTCAATGGTACTAAAAGACGTTGTGGTTGAGGTTTCACTAGAAATCGTGCTATCGGTATCATCATCATCATCATCATCATCATCATCATCATTCCGACTGTTGAGTGCTTTATAGTTATTTTTTAACTTTGTATAGAAAATATCCTGTACCGCTTGTAGATTATTAATGGAAACGATGTCTTCAAATGAAGGTGAATATAACGCTTGTGCGTAGGTTTTGGTGAGTTTAAAGGGTACTTCTTCGGATAATTTTGCGCAGGCTAATTTGTAACAACGATCCAAATCGAACTTTGATAACGTAACGAAACGATCCTGTTGTGTTTTGGTTCGGGTTAAAATCGGCATTTCAAAAGGGAACAAAAGAAAGGAAATTGGAAAATAAATAAATAAAAAATTAATGGATTGGGACTTTGTCCTCAAAAAGGTAAAAATCGAATAATTTTTCCTCTTTTGAATTTAAAATCTTATTCGCGAGTTTGACGCGAAATAAAAAAATAATTTAGGGTTAAAGGTTAAAACATCATTTACAAAAGTAGGAAATTTATCATCGTTCTTATATATAAATGTTTTGCATGTAAAAAAAAAAATAAAATAAAAACAATGGAACACACACATCCTATGCAAATGGGGAATCTTTTTGCATAAAATTAATTAATTCTCATGTATTAATAATTCTTTGGTTTACCGAAGCAAAACTAAGTTACGTTCAACTTTGCCATTTTTAAAGTTTTTGCCCTATCTTTTGATTTTATTTCCTCAAGAAAAATTATCGAAAAATTTACTTTTTTTTTTTTCTGTTAGAAAAAAACGATTTTTTTTTTTTTTATTTATGGGAAAGGACGTATTGATTTTTGGTTTAGGTAAGATCTGTTTCACAATTAAATTGTCAAAATATATTTTGGCCAATATTGTCAATATTATAATTAGTAAATTAGTTTAATTAGTTGGATTTAAATAATATTAAATTTGATTGGTTTTATATTTATTATAATATTTATTAAAAATTAAGACCTATTTGAAAAGGAGCAACTTAAACATGTTTCTATGATATTGATCTATAAAATGCAGCGCAAATCTAAACATCAAATTATCGTTAAATTCCAATTGATCTTCTCGGCCTTCTGCCATAGGTTTGTGGTTTATTAACTCCGTGCCGAGTCGCGTCCATTCTATTTTCAAAATTATTTTTTTTTTTTTTAGGGTTAGATGATAAAGGAAAAACTTTGAAAAAAAAAAAAAAATATTTTAAAATATTTACGCTTCTTTTTCTTCTTTGACTTTTTTAGGTGGCGGAGGTTTTTGAACTTTAACTTTTTTAGGTGGCGGAGGTTTTTGAATTTGAATTTTAAGTTTTTTCGGTGGAGGAGATTTTTGAATTTGAATTTTAAGTTTTTTCGGTGGTGGAGATTTTTGAACTTTTTTGTTGTTAATCGGCAAGCTAGTCGCCAATGAGAAAAGACAGAGAACAATCAGTAAAGTCAAAAATAAAGTATTTGGTTTCATGTTGTTTGTAAAGAGGAAAAGGTTTGTTTAAAAGAATGTTTGGATTGGCAACAAAATTTGAATTGCTCGCCGTTTAATATTTAATATTTTATTTTTAAATAAAAAAAAAAATGAAACGAAGGGATCCTTTCCTTATAAAAGTTTTTTTTTTTAAAAAAAAAAAAAAAGATTACATGCAAATTCTAGCTACATAATTAATTAATTAATCACAAAACAAATTGTTCGGCTGTGAACTATCAACAAATTTTCTTTATTTCACCGCATAAAGACGCATAAAGACATTTGTTACATTTGTAATTTCATTACATAAAATCTTAGTCTATTTAAAAAAAAAAAAAAAAAAAAAAAAAAACGAAGCCTAAATATTAAATGATTACATTAAATATATTATATATATATATATATTTAACAGTCTGGTAGTGGAAATTATTTAGATTAGATTTTGACTACTACTTCATCACATCATTCTAGTAAGAAACTCTGCCGCCGTATTTCGTTCTATTCACTCCATCCCGATCCGAGTTCATGTCAGTATCGCTATAATTCGAATTTTTCTTTTAGTAAGTTGAAAAAAAAAGATTTCTTAAAAAGTAAAAAAATTTCTAACGTTGAGAAGGTATTTACCTTGTTTTTTTTTTAGCTGGTAAACTTTCGACCAATGAAGAGACCGAGACCAAGGCAAGCATGCACATCATTGTAATAAATTTGAAATTCATGGTGTTGATTCCTTTTGGTTTTTCGTGAAATTTGAAGTGAAGTGCTGAAATATTTTTTTTTTTTTTGTTACCGAAAAATTACGGTTCTTATTGATTTGGTTTTTTCGTGAAATTTGAAGTGAAGGGATCACGTTTGTTGATTATTTATAAACCTTTTTCAAAATGAAAAAAAAGGTAATAAATTATTTGAAGGAATCGTAATTGTAAACACGGCAATGACAATTTTTATCATGTACAATTGCTTGCCAAATAAATATGCACGTAATATTAGGAGCATCGGCGAATTTCGGATCTACTCCGTCTTTCGTTTACCGGCATACCTACCGTTGATCTAATGTAATTCTTACGAAAATGCTTTCTTGTAAGTTCCCGTATAGAGAATGAACTAATCAGGTTCTGTTAACAAAGAAATTTAGATTCGGATTAGAAATTCATAAAATGAACGTCTTTATGATCGATATATCAATGAAAAAAAAAAAAAAGTGGGCGTCTCTAATGAATGAATTGCAAATGGGATTGGTTCGTACTTTTTCTTCAACGGCAATTACTGAAAAGAAATGATGCGCATTAAAAAATTCCCTGCATTATACAACTTTGATCCTTAAATTTTGGTATCTTTAGTAATTAATTGAATTAATTCTGCAATACACCTTTTGTTTCTCTTTTTTTTAAAAAAAAAAAAAACGCTTATCATTTCTATATATTAGTTTCGCAGAAGTTTGTAACCGAAAGAAATAAATTATGTTTTTGTGCAAACATTGTAACAGTTGATGATAAATTGTAAAGAAATTGGGTAAATAAATTTAAATGCACAAATCTAATTATAAAACTGGTGCCTCATGTTTTTATTTTGTTTCTCCAAGTTCTTCTAAAAGGAACCATTAACCATTGGAATTTGAAAATTGTACCGACATGCATTTCGGTGTTGATTGTTTTATTCATTTGTTATTATTTTTTTTTTAATTAAATGTCATTGACATTTTTAGTTTTATCCAAAATTATAATTGGCAAAGAGTGTACAATCTATTATTATATGAATTATTTTGAGGGGTTTCAATTGTGCAAACTCACATAAGGGTTAATATTGACACCGCTCTCCGCTTAAATAAAAGGGGTTTTGACATACAGGTACTTTTGATTGTAGCTTTGAAAACAAAATCTTCAGCCAATTCTTTTATTTGAATAACGTGCGACAAACTTTAGTGAAAAATTTGACATATAATTAAAATTATAATGAATCTAATTTTCTTATTTTTTTGTTAAAGAGTTAATCCGTCGCAATTTATCATGAACATTTTTTCCAAAATTTGATTTGGCTTTTCGACGTTGAATTCTCGACATTTTTGCGCAGTGCCGATATGGGACACAGTAATTTGATGATAATGTTTTTGGTCGTGGCCAATTGCCAAATGTCATCTTATTTTGGCCAAGACAACTCCTGAAATTTCAATTGTTGCATTTTTGCACCTCCGACGTTAATTAAACAATTCCAACAATTGATATTGGGCGTTAAATTTTTTACCTGGTTTTCGGCATGAATAATTCTTTTAATTCGAATTAAATTTCAGACAGCTCGCGAATTTTATTTTTTCGAACCATTATTAACGAAGAGAATGTTTTTAAATCAAAGATATTGTATATAATACAGTAATGCTTATCATCCCGATCAGACTTTTTGGAAATGAAATCAAAGATCTGAAAACAATAGAATAGACTCCAATCGAATCTGTCGGCAAAAGGACTCGATTCGATATTAATTAACCGAATTAAATTTGATTGCTTTTTACAGTCATAACCGAATTAATTTTGATCTCTTTATATGGTTAGGTGATTAAATGATTTTTATCATATTTCAAGATTTCAAGATTTCAAGTCATCCCTTTTTGTAAAAGGAACAATGTGCCCATTTCCTAGTTATCAAGCAGAATCTTTTTTCTTTCGTAAATATTTATATGTAGTCACACATTTCATGTGCTGCATGTGGTTACATTGTGCGTCCTATAACTATAAAAATGTGTTAGGCTCTTGGCATACAATAGAAACCCCATTTTAATGGATGTGACCCTTCAACAACGAGAATTTAAGGATAATAATAATTGTGAAGAATATAACAATTATGACACTTTTAGGTTCGATCAGACATGTAATTTTAAATTTCGAACCTTTTAAGGGGACAAAGAATTTCAGAAAAAATTCCCATGACAATTCCTGTTGCAGATCGAACCCAATTATTTTTTAATTAGGAAATTTTTAATAACGTTGAGGGGTAACAAATTTTTTTTTTTTTTCCATATTGTGTCATCATCATGTAACGATTGTAATCTTATATAGTAAAAATGTTTTTTTTTCAAATCGATTTTATAATAACTGATAATAACTGAGATAGATATTTTTTTTACAAAATAAAATTTCTTTGACAAAAGATTTAATGGACAAAAACGATAAAAATAATCAATCTCTTCATGCTTTAATAAATCGATTACTTTTATTACCTCCTAAATTAAGCTAGCGGTAAGGATTTTTAAATTTATTAAATCTTTCCTTCTTTTACTTCCAAATCAATTACAATTCCAAATTCTTATACAAATAAAACTTGCGTGCTTATATAAACTTAAGGAACCTAACAAACAAAATGCATATCAATATCAATAGACCAATTAATTAATTATTACCGTTTAAGGTTAAAGCACAACTCGCTTATTAGGTAATTGTGACAGGTTCTCAATTATATTTAGCCAACACCATATCATTTTCTTTATTCTTCGAAAAAAAAAAAAAAAAAGATAATAATGTCGACAACGAACACAAACAATTAATAATTGTCTGATGATTGACCCAAACAAAAAAAAAAGATAAATATCATCACAACTTATTTTTTAAGGTTTTAATCCTTCTTTTTTCTTTCGTTTTTTCCGATTTATAACTTGCAGCTTCTTAACTTTGATGACGTTCAAATGCATCTTAATACGTCACATCACCGTCGTTTCCATTGTTCCCTTCCAATTGTTGTCATTGCAATTCTAATCTTTTCCAAATTCTGTGTGGCATATGACACATCTTTGACCCATTGGGAGGATCCAGCAAGAAAATTATACCTTTTCGATAGTTATACAGAGAAGGACGGGA